CTTCATTTCTATCACTACATATAAGGTGTATTTGCACCGTGATAAATAGATAGTCAAGGCTATGTGCGCAGTCCAGCTTATGTACTCTACTATCTACAAGTAGAATTATCCATCATTCCGTTTACACTAGAAGTAATAGTAGCCAGTGCTTCATACGATGTTAGGTTGTAGGACTGATGGATAATTGAGAGATAGATCAATACCTATTTGGATGATCTGATTGTGTAGGCTTAGGATATTAAATAAGTATTCCTTTTGGCTTACGATATTAAAAGCCAGTAGGTATTCATGGGTGCTATATAGTAGCAGTAGGCTTATAAAATTTACTTATAGCAATAGATTGTTGTCACTACCTCGATTGGGTGGCTTAAGGAGATCATATAAAATAGGGGTATTCTGCCTTCGTCGATCCAGTAAAACCACCTCGCATTTTAATATGGAGTAAAATAACTCTTCAAATACCTATTATCCCACAGATAACTTTGTAACCAACGTGTTTACTATGCTACTGTACAGAGCATACTCTAATAACTCAATAGTTAATTAGTTTTATGCTTTCACCACAATTGTACAGTCTGGTAGCTTTTAAAGTAAAGAAATAGTCAAGACGTTCCTTATTCATTTCTTATTGTGCTTCGTACCGATATACTACTACTTGTACGCTAGAAATAACTAGCCTTTGCTTAACATAATGTTTAAGCTATCGAGCTAATGCATAAGTCCGATCAATACCTATCTTGATGATATTATTAAAGTAAATGCTTATGATCTAAAATGGACAATTAGCGGTGTAGTAACAGTAGATTCTTGAATTTAGATATAGATATTGCATAGTCCACCAGCTTTAAAATGTAGAAATACGCGTAGTCAAGACCTTTCTCATTGGCTTCAAATACACTTTAATGCAAATATACCGGTAGATTCCACATACTGTACGCATTATTGTAACTAATTCAACTTGTCAAAATTCAGAAAGATCATTTTTCATACTATGATAAGAGGCCGATGTGTATCTTGTCATCAGGACTTTGTACCAGCTTATGTACTCTACTGTCTATAAGTATATATATTCATTATTCTGCTTACGCTGGACATAACTTTAATCATTGCTTGATTCTGTATTGAAGTTATATGGCTAATGCATTATATAACAAAAGTCACAAACTGAATTGAAATCTATTGATCAATAGCGCGGGGTTAGGAAATGGATTATAGAATCTATCACTGGTCAACCATGCTAATTAAAACACTTGTCAACTAGAAATTTCTTTTTAATATTCGATGTAATCAAAATTATAATCTTCGATAAGCTTATTGACGTATCATTTTCTAGTGCAATAAGGTTATGCTGCGAAAATGACTCGAATATGGGACAAGATGACAATTACTATTGCAAAAATGGCCTTATAGCAGTGTGATATATACCGATCACGAAATTCCAAATTTTAGAAAAATAAGTGCTTTATTGAATCTTATACAAAGATTAACTACACACAGTTCTACTCTAGCCGAATACTACTACTAAAGACTTCTACAACGAACTAACAGAATAATCTAAAGTTGTATGCTTTTATGCTTTCCGTAGCATTCGCAGCTACAATCCGCATGGCAACCTTTTACCTTATTTTACACATAGTTAAATTATTCTTAGTAAGACTATTCTACTGCGGACCATCATTAATCCGATATGGATACGACTACAGTACTTATGTAGACATTATTCACACCAGTCAAAGTACAATGAATTAACCATATCCTAATATATGATTTACAGTTCTATTTTTACCTATAGCCATATTAGTAACTCAACACCTTACTATATATAGTCATTTGTACTCTAGCATAGAGTCTATACCACTACAGTCTATAGTTATAGCTACCAAATATCTCTTAGGATAAATATAGAAGTTATGCTACCTAACATTATACTAAACATGGCTAACAGTCTAAATTACAATACTAAGTTACATTACAAGCAGATATGCAAACTTGAAGATTGTAAATAGGGATACAAGAATACAAGTCTTTCTGCAGAGACCAATTGCATCGATGAGCATGAAATATTGATGCTTGCATTCATAAGGACTATTTTTTTTACCTTTTTCCCCGCATTCTATTGGCTATTAGTAACTATAAAGAGCAGCTATTTTTCATTGAGAAGAAAAATTTGAGAAAGAGACCATTGCTCGATATCTAAATCGATACCGCGGATTAAACACTCGCAAGGACACACGAATAGGGAAGAAGGTATATATATATAAATTAAATTATCTGAACAGAGAAGATCATCTCTCGGTAATTTCTTCAAGAGTAATAAAATTATACGATATAGAATAATCAAACTAAATATAATGTGCTTTGTCTTTATATACTGCAAGTGATCATACCAGGTTGAATTATCTTTCCTCAGTTACAATCGTTCAAATATTACAAAATCAAATGATAAGTTAACAACGTCGAGTATAGCAACGTAGAGATAATAGAATACCCTATCATTAAAGAAAACTACTGAAGTATGTATTACAAAATACAATTGCTATAATGACTGTAAAACTACGATTATTTACTCAGATCTTGTTCATAGAGGTGAAATAATTAAGCAGACAATACTTTAAAAGGTTCATGAAAGTATCCCAAAGTGATTAATTGTAATATTGACTGAATTTAAGAATAAATTCAAACAGACGCCGAAAGATATAATTCAACTATTGATTCTTTGATATTTAGCCAAAGCTATATACGGGAAAAGCCCCACCTCTTTATGTCAAGTGATAGTTTAGAGCCGACAATAATTAATCAGCAAGTTCAATTTAAATCGCTAATTAAGCATACTTAGCCGTACAAGAATGTTTATTGTCTTCAATATCACATTAGTTCTACCCTTTCAACTTGAGGCTCTGGTCGATTCTTTTCTGGATTTCTTATTCACGACGATTCTAAGTATAAGCTAATATCAGAAAATTTCAACAAAATACACAATTTTTGATTCCTTCCCATTCAAATAAAACTCTAGCAACTATGGTCAATCTATTTTCGCACAATATTTCTAATAGTAATGCAATAAATAACATTTATAATATCATATACGACTACGCAAGTTTAATCAGTGGTGTCTTATCGATCATAGGCTGTTCTCTTAATTTATTTCTATTATATATACTAATACGTGATAAACAATTTCATACTGTCTCGTATAAACTAATTCGAATCTCTGTTATCTCTGATATTTTATCAAGTTTCACGATCGGTACTGGTTGCCTCTTAATCTCTTACGAATTTACTTATGATGGAGGCATAATTCTTTGTAGGGTAGTTATATTTTTTACATTTACCTCCAACGGTGTCTCCATATTAAATTTATGCTTAATTGCTATCGATCGTTATTTTGCTATCGTTAAACCTTTCTACCGACGCTATCATAGACGACGTAAACAAATTTTCTACTTAAGTCAAATTTTCGTTTGGACAATATCAGCCGGTTACACTGCAGCTGCAGTCCCTGCAATTAAAGTCTCTCACGAAGATCCGACGTAT